ACATTCAGTAGATAATCACCGCTTAGCTTTTGATGCGTCCTTGAATATTGCTTACTTGGTATGACAACGTTTACGAGGACTGTACATGCTTTAGAAGGAGATAACCTTGACAGTACTTAATAACAAGCCAGAAATTTTCATAGGAAACCAATTTGTACATTCCTTTCGACTACATAGGACTTAATTCTATTGTAGTAGACACGTGATTTACAATGATTGAGTTATCTTGTGTTGTTTTTTTTCTTTCTGCACCCTTTTATTTAGTTTTATATTCTAACAATTCATCTGATTTTGATATTTAGCAGCAATAGTTTACTCATCTTATTCTCTGATCATATTTTATTTGACCTAAAAATTTCACATATTCACATATCTCTCCCCTAATCTTATAATAAAATCAACCCTATCATCCATTTACTAGTATGTCTAATGCACTTTCTTTTGACCTTTATTCAATCCTACTTTTAGTCGATTTGTGATTCATAATCACTTCAACAGGCATTATCACACTTCGATATTCACAATACACAAATTCTTGTTAGTGTTTATTCTAATCCATATATATATATATAAATGGTTCCGACTGTAAAGTGTTCTTCCTTCTTCATCCTTTAGCCTATAAACAGGTAGGCTGTTATTGACAGGATGTTGTTATATTCAAATTAGCTAATTAAGACCGAAAGTTCACTGTCTTTTTAATGATAAACACTCCAAAATGGTTGAAATTACAGAAATTAAATCTTTTCTGTTTGATATATACCTGTAAGAGTGTTATAATTTGATGGCTAATAAGACTAAAGTTTTCTCATTTATTTTTTATTTCCCGTGGATTGATTGTATTGGAGCAAAATGCTCAGTCTCTGATGACATGTCGGCTCCTAGAACGGCCGCTTTAACGATAGCCGCAGACTACCATAATGTTACTTGGTTGATGGTGCCTAGCAGTGGAATACAGAAAGCACATTTCGTCATATATTGGGAATCAGCAGCTGGATGTGCATGAAATTCCAAGTGCAGAAATGAATAATAACTGATTTTCCATTGCAAAAAAAGTGGTTCTCACTACCCGTCAGATAATGCTTTGATTTTTGAAATGGCGGGCTAAGGATTTGGGTCATCATGGGAACACTGACACTTACTGGGGATGCAGATTCGTTGACTGGAAGAGCTCCAATATAGGATGAAATGAGTTTACTGGATTTGATTGCTGATCACCGTTATCCAAATAAGAGTGAAGTCAGATAGCACAATTTAAGGAGATATGTAATTTCACTGCTGTCTCATTAGAATTTACAAAATTTAGAAAAGTCTGTGAAAGTTTCCATGGCGAGACCAGATGGAGAGAAATAAATGCAAACAAAGCAGAAGAAATACATATTTTCGACTTGATCACTCATAGGAGATGCAGCTAATGCATCGTAACTGTCATCGTAACTCAGAAAATACATTAAAAGTCAATCTGAACGAAGAATATTCTTTTCAATAATTTCTCTTCAGGTTCTTACAATTTTAAAATATAATATTTATTGTCGTTACAATAAAGGCCAGTTATGTGGCAGATACATTTTTAACGTAGAATAACAGATTAGTTATGCGGTGTCAAAATAAATAGTCGTATTTGTGTGACAAACGTGCTAGGCTGAAATTGATTACAAAATATTGTAAAATGGGAGACAATGGTGATTAATCATAACAGATTTGTAGAGTGTAGGGTAGGTAAATTGACAAGTCAGTTCAAGGTTATAAAAGGTGTCAGGTGAGTGGCTAGTACAAAGTGGTCTGTGTTAAACAGGAGATAGTAAGACTGCAATGGGAGGTTCATAATGAGATAACGAATATGTGAAATGAAACAGGTGGAGGCATATATTGAGAAAAGAGATATCACTAATAATAAGTCCGGATAGTATAAACGAAGAAATTCGATAGTATTGAGAGAATGTTTGCATGAAGGGCATAAATTATGACGAATAATAATATTAATAACAATAACAATTGTAATAATAATATTTGTAATAATAAGCAAAGGAAGAAAAGCCAAGAGGGTTAAGGGGAGGGAGCACTCTTAGTGAGAAGGAGAATCATCAATCCAAGTTTGGCCACGGTAGGAACAGCGTCTGGACGTGTTCCTTTTGGATACAAAGTTCCGGTTTAGTCGATCTTATTGCAACAGCTTCAGCTATGTGTAGAAGACGTAAGCGAACTGTACGTGATAACGACTTCGGAATTCGGTATATAACCCTGAAAGCTGTGTTGACATCGATATGATGTCCAGTATCGACCAAGTGTGACAGGATCGAGCTTTTTATGCACTTAATTTCCCCCCTGCTGAACCAAGCTGGTAAATGTTCTCGAACTCGTAAACGAACCTGCCTAATCGTGCGCCCTATATAACTTGAACCACAGGAACAGTTGAAATGGTATATGCATGAAGAAGAGCTAAGCTTAGGTAAGACATCTTTGAGTTGCTGGGTGAACATTGGACGGCTGCTGAAGAATAGACACAGATGTGCAGAGTAGAAAGTTTTCCACACTATCAGAAAATACAGCCAAAACATTCTCCACTACAAGACTAATTTCGAAATTCAGCACCCATTTAAAATTCCAATGTTGCTGAATGATAAGCTACAGAGTCCGGCTACTTCAGCTTGCATTTATAAATTTGACTGTTCTTGTGAAGGCGGTTACATAGATGGAACGATTCGACAGGCTAAGCGTCGCCATCTTTAGCTTTGTCCAAAGTGGTTGTTCAAATGAATTATTAGATAGATAGGAAATTCCATATTGACACACCCAGTGGATATGGAGTACAAGAATGATGAAAATTCTGCCCTGACCATACTATGCGAGGTGACACCGCAATTCTTTAAGCTTGTATTCTTTCTAATTATAAGTATAACTGAAGCAGTTACTGAAAAAGATTTTTAAACTCAGTCTTTGTGTTCTGAAAATGTTTGTCTAGTCAGTCTACCTTCGATGTCTTTCGGTCCCTACCTAGAATTGTTTTGTTTCTCGGGTGATACGGGATGACTGTATATTATCTTTGTTATGATTATCATGCTGTGCTATAATTGCATATTTTAATTTTAGTCTCACAATTTATTATAGAACCATACTTTCTGCCATCCAATCGCTATGGGACAATAATTGTTTATCTTCTATACCCTTATAAATACACTCATCTGAAGTACACATTCACAACCATTGACCGCCTAGACTATATAAACACTTACATGAATTTACCCTTGTTGTTGTTATTTTTCTGATCACCTTGATTAACTATTCACTTATTCATATACTTATAGGATTACTTTATTTACCACATTAGTATCAAATATCTATGTTTGATAGTCTTACACTGTAATTAATCTAATAGTTTATGAGGAATTACTGGAAGTATGTATGTGCTTAAATTATGTTCTCTAGTTACCATACTGTGAATATTTAAGAATAAAGTTATCAGACATACGAATATATCCAATTTACTGAGGATCATATTTTCAAACACGTGCCACTTTTTATCTCAGTTTAATGACTTAAAAGCAACGATGGTTGAATGATATACAAAAAAATTCCAAGTGAAACTGACGTCTTTTATTATCTGACTGTTTCTTACATTCTTATCTTCCTTTCTGCTAATTTTAATTTCACAGTCAGCAATAAAATCCTTCTCAAAAAAATAGAAATGTTTCCGTTAATAATAAATTTCATAAAAAAATAAATGATCTAGATATCCGACCAACAACAGTCATTAATTACCATTAATGGGCGAGATCTAAGGGAAATTGTCTAATACCTTTGCAAATCTAGGCACCAGCATTTCAAATACAGGTGGAATGGATGACGATGCTAAAGCTAGTCAGGTTCGGGAAAGTGAGACAGGCGTTCATTACTCTGAAATCGGCGTGGTGACCAACAGCATTCACCACAACCAATGAAATCCGAATTTTCAACAATGATGTCAAGTAAATGCTTCTGTATACTCCTGAGAATTGACTACTGCACACTTTCATAAATAGATGCCTTCGTTCAATACGAAAAGTTGGATAGCCATCTCCTCACAAAGGAAAAGCTATAAGCATATTTGGTAACAAACCATCCCAAAACCTACTTACTAATAAATATGCAGAAAGCAAAGGAAATGAAGAGGCATACGCTGATAAGACCGTTGAGTGATGCCACTTGCCATGTCCTCGAGTAAAATCCGAATAGAAAACAACAGGTTGAACATCCGAATGTGACATTGAGGAGATTATATGAGGAAGAAATGAAAGCTTATGGGCAGTCGTCAGTTCAACCAAGAAAGACCGAAGAGAACGGAGTGAAATGGTGATACGTCTCTGTGTCCTCTTAGAAACCCAAGGGATGAATAATAATATTATAATGACGTCTTGCATATACGAAGTGTATTAACATTCTGTTGATGTTCACATCAGAATGTATTGTTTTCTTCAGATTTGCGCGAAAATTAACCGTGATAATATTAACTAACTTTTTTCATGAAGCAACCAGACTTCTGTAAAAGAGCTTGTTAGGAAGAATGTTATTCAATCGGTAGGAAACCGAGGATGAAATGAAAACCAACCAGTTGGCAAGATTGAAATCAGAGGCCTCCGAATCACTTTAAGGTTTTGTATCAGTCTACTTACGCGATCCGGCTGCTAATCAGGTCATTATTTGATTGAGATTACCTTGCATAAAACTCAGAACTTTCTCAGATAGCTTTGTCATCAGTTCACTATTTAGACAATAATTCAAATTATCTGCCTGAATGAATAATATTCAGTGAGTGCATGTAAAGGAAATCAAATGAAAAAATAACCCATCTAACCCACTCAAAACATGATACAGAAAAAATTAAAATCATAAGAGATTCATAAGGAATATAGGCAGTTTTGCTTTACACAAACACATTTCTAATTCTGTAAAATGTTTATTAAGGGTACTTATTATATTCCATAATTTTTACTTACGCTGTTTTTATTCATCTTCTATCTCTTTAGTTTAAACAAGTTGAAGAATACATGGCTTATCGTAAACTTCCAAGAGCACTGCGTCAAAGAATAGCAAACTATTATGAACATCGATATCAGGGGAAAATGTTTGATGAGGCACAAATTTTAAATGAATTTTCTGAATGTCTCAGAGAGGTATGTGAATATTACTTTGATGTTTTACTTATTTCTTTAAAAATTTATCATTAGGAAAAGTATTTTTCATATCACTATTAAATTACACAGGAGAATATCAGACCTTAACGGCAGTGATAATGAGATGTTCCGTCCATAAATTATATATTTCATATCATCTCCATAAGGAACGATATCAAAAAAATATCTGGAAAAAAAGTACAAACATACCTGGGTGAAAGTAGTAGACAGCAGTTTAGTAAATAGCGCTACAAATGAAAAGAAACTTTCAACGAAAATAACATAATGTTGCACACTACTGATTGTATTGAGTAATTGGAAAGCATTCCTGTCAAATAGTAGTTCTTGTTTTCGAAATTGAAGTGATCTAAGCACCAGTTAGTCATTTCATTTGTTTGTGGCAATGCTCATCAGTAATGCACTTTTAATGATTCAGCTAATACAACCAAGTCACATTAAACCACTTCTATTCTAGCTACCTACTTGAACAAAATGATAATACATAAAATCTTGTTTGCAAATAATGCATTTGAAAATTACAACTATTTTATACAAGAGTAGAATTTGGGAACTGTAGTAGAGTTTATTTCAGATAACACACAGTCATACAGTGTTGATAAGTGGATGACGTCTTGAGCACAATTTACTGCTCAGTACTATATCAGTACGCTTCAGAGGCACAGCGGTAGGATGCTCGCCAACCGCTTATGTGGCTCCGGGTTCGATCCTCGGCGGACGCATTCCTTTACCTCGCTAAGTCAATGATAAAACTGGTAAACAGGGAAGGTTAGGCATTAGGCTAGCAACGCATCCTGTAAAAATAAACACCACTGCTACTGAAACTTCACACCTCTAGCTTGAAGCCCAATGTTCAACGTAAAGGAATAGAAAACTACATCAGTGTAACGATACGACCTCTTAATTTGCTTTATATTATTTTACACTCCTTTTTTCTATGCGATTTTCCATATGAACCAAGTTTGAAACAGGAATTGTGTTATTTTGATAGCATGAATTTGATGTTGATTTGATGAGGAAAGTTTCGGTGAATATCACCTTTTTCCTTACCTAATAACATTACTTCCTAATATTTCCACTCTTTTCCACCCTACTATGCGACTATATGCAAGTGCATGCATGAAAATGATTGAGTTTTTTAACAAAAAAAAGATCCTAGATCTAGCTAAATATACATTTCTCGATAATCTAACTGAGCCTGATTTACTGGTGTCAGCTGCATAATTGAAGCTAAAGTCAATATACCGTAATTGGAAGACCGTTATTTTGCTTGACTGGGTCTATCGGATGCTTAAACTGAATGAGTTACCAATCCAAGCCTTGTTAAGAAGTATGAGCAGAGCCTCCGATATTCCTTTTTTAAACGACGATACCATCAGGACTTTTAATTCCTTATCATTTATAATCTTTTTATTGTAGATACTAACATTTCCATTTTCCAGTCACCTTAATAAATGTGTGAATAAATTTTAATGGATAGTTATTTTGTATTATCGGAATGTGACAATTTCTTAAAGGTAGTAGATCTGAACTATTGTTTGTATGACTTCTTCAGGAAACAGTTTCTTAACCAGATAATGAACTTAGAACAGAATACGAGTATACAACAAATTTTCGTTTACTTCAAATACATATTTGCATGACATATTCCCAACCAACCTCTAACCATATAATACCAACAATTCACAGTGCACCGCGATGGCGAGCCATCTAGTATGGTGGCCACATTGCAAGTTTGACTGATAGAATTCAGTCTGCACCGAAGATAGGACTAGACACATTACACTAGTTACTGACTAGTGTGCAATCAAAAATATCCAATACAGTCCTACAGGAGGTCAATCGCGAGTCTGAATAGCTCAGTGGTAACGTCTCTGACTGCAGCATTGGGTGACGCGGGTTTGAATCTCAGAAGGGACATCAGTTCCTTCTAGGTTGCAGATACGCCTTGTTAATGAGTGCCAACTAGCACGAAACCTAGGTCCAAGGCTTCCTGCCGATTGCCTCCAACCATAAATTCCCAAAACATCATGAAAGGCATTCATTGAAATTTGATTTCAAACAGGTAGAAATTTATGGTTATTTTATACTACAGTGAAAATTATTATTCTACATGAACATTTCCCATCTAGGTAATCATGAAAAAATAAAACATGTAATTCAGAGAAGTTATTTTTTAAGGCAAATTCATTTTCATTAGTTGCACAATCGTATTTATATGCAATTATTTTTCACAAAAGGAGATAGTAACAAAAGTGATGAGTTGTCATAATTATAGTAGCTACTATTAATCTCTCTAATATAAGAGGAGTTGAATGAAATGAATAATTTATTGATTCAGTTGTATTCAGGATGCATATAGAAATGAAAGCAAATGTGATACTAAGTAAGAGCTAGAAAGAAATACAAGAGTTATGAGCGGTTGAAAAACAAGCAAAAATCAAATTGTTAGCGAACAACATAGCTGTTACCGTGGTAATAGAAGTTGTAAAATAATTCTCATTTGCTTTTGTTTTATCCTAACAGAGAGAGAGCTTCTGTAACTCAGGGGAGAAGAAAGTGTAGTCACTGTATGTGAAAGGTTGTTCTTCACTGTGTAGATTACTCTGATGGAGGAATTTGTTGAGGTAGAATGATCTGTGTTTCTGTTCTTAGCTATGACTACATGGGATCAAACAAAAATAGTGAATGTTTAAAATGCTTTTTTAGTTTTCGAATTTTTTTTTATTTAAAAAAACACGAATCAAGTTCTTAGCTTTTTTCAATAATTGTAAATTGAATGCACTGAGAGATAAACTTTTATTGTCTCCTGTTATACTGACTCTGCAGTATTAGATTAGATGAACCGAAAAAAACTAAAAGTTCTGTACTTTCCGACGACTGCTACCCACTTCATTTACGTTTTCACCACTTGTATGATTACAGTAGGTAGATGGAGAGAGACAGAGTGTGTGTACGCTTCAATTATCTAATCAATAGTTAGAAATGAGAAAAATTCACTGTTTAAGCAACTGATATTAAGTTATCCCCATCCATTGTGTAATGAGACGTAAAGTCCTCATAACGAGAAAAACAAATGAAGGAATGAATGAAAAAAGACCTTTTTTTCTGAAACATTCTGCATTATACAACACTTTTATTCATAATCCAGTGTAGATTTACACCTTCTAAATGTTAATAACCATTGCTTTAAACATACATTTCAAGGCAATAGCACCACATGCTCTCAGAAAACCTAACTAGCGGTTCTTGTGAATATTTCAAAAAGCATTTAAAAAATTGTGACATATATATATATATATATATAAGTTGCTTATAAGTTTTTTCATTTCAGAATATATCAAAGTTAGTTGAAATGCAATTACCAATCTTTTAAGGGCGTCACATTGTTATGGTAGATACATCAAAACTAGAAGTTTGATTAGTGAACAGTATTCTCGGCTACATGCTGGCTACGTTGAAAAATAATATATATATATATATATATACTTTCATTAACCACCAATAGGTTGCAGAATCCTATCGGTTGATTCGGCTTAGCAGTTTGTTCACTAAGTATAACTTTTTTAAACCTCCTAATTAAGAACATGATATTTCCTTAAGGTTTATTAAATGTGACCTGAAATGTGAAGCTTTTGTATTCACAGAACCATAACTAGAACAAAACTCATTTAATTCCCGCTAAGCTATATTTTAAACAAGGGTTTTATATAAACATAGTAGTTGAGTTAATTACTACATCAACATTGATCAATTGAGGTCAAACAATATTCAAGTCAAGCAATTAAATGCTTGACTTACTCTGCGAATTCTTATTTAAGTGAGGTGTACTGGAAGAGTTCAAACATCTAAAATAAGGAACATGCATTTAAAAATTGATATGAATTTAAAAATTTAAAACTGAAGTAAAAATTGAGCAATGTCAATGTTTGCTTGGCTGATTTTTGCATTTCACTAGAAAAATCTCTTACAATTTCTCATTCCCTTGTACTTATCAAATATTTCTATGATACGAGAGGTGTGCATTGTTAATTCATACAGTCTGTATTCCAAGTATGACATACTTGTAAGTTACGAAATTTAAAGTCTCGTTGAGGATGGATGACATTATACATATTCGCGCGTTATCAAGCATCCTCAAAAGTTAATTAGAAGATATACATCTATTTCTTAAAATTGTTATGTTTCAGATGTTCGTTTGCAGGTGTTTGATTGATTTAAAGTTAGATCACTGAAAACCAGGAAGCACTGGACAGCTATTTTGTCCCGTTTTGAAACTTCTCAGTGGTATGCACCCAAACCCCACCCCAGGCAAGCTTACTGACCATTCCGCAATTGGCCCAAGAATTCTTACTCAATAAAACTTCAGTTAAATTCGTCTTATTGTTATTCAGTAGTAGTCATTAGAAGTTAGGAACAACTAGGATTCATCGGTCACTGATGTCCACCTATTGGCTGAATGGTGAACGCTATTACCTGTAAGATGTAGGTCCTGTGTTTGCATTCAGTTGGGGTCATGGGTGCTTACTTTTGAACAGTCTGTAACTAAGACGACACATCTATCCAGTACTTCCTGGTTTTCATTGTTTATTTAATTGTTATATGTTCGTCACATAACTTGAATAACTTCTTGAATTTCCTGCTGATTGATCTTTATTAGATCAAAATCCTCACTTCAACAAGGCGTTAAGACAAACATGGTGTTACCTGCTTCAATAGCAATTCAGTCCATTGAAAATCAATTAAGGGGAAATTCCAAAACAGTAAATACACGAAATTACGAGAGGTAGCTCTCTCAGCTTTCGTGGCCTGACAGATAATCATTTGGCATCCAAAATGATGGATGCTGGGTTTGCATTTAGGTAGGAACTCCATCCCTCATCAAATATGCAACTTTATGAAGTTGACGAGTCACGAATGTGAAGGAACGCAGGTTATGGATTCCACAGTTAGCTTCTATCAACTGAATAAGAAATTAGCAGAAGTAAAACACATCAAATCATCTTACTCAGCTTCTTTCTCCCAATAAAACTTGAGTAGTTTCACGATGAAATTTAAAAGTTAAAATATTCTAAAAGGTTGTTTCATTGAATCAGTCGGTTGTATGTACTTGCTTGTCTTCAGTAAACTTCGTTTATGAATCACTGTTGACTGAAAATTGTGTTTCGATGACTATTTTTAAAGAAAGACTGTATAACTGTCCATGGGAAGCTTTTAAAATATGTAGTTTAATGAAACATTAGCAAGCACAGTTCTTAATAATTAGATTAGTCAACTTCTGAGTTATCTTGCTCTTTAGTTATTTTCAATCACGAAAAGTCTAAAGCAAAATCTCTCTTAGAACAGTGTGAATAAAGCGGGATATTTAAAAGCTTCTCTACAAAACGTTATAATGTAGTTAGGTCAGATAGCATTGAAGGTATGGTTTGTACCTTTTAAACTTAAAATATTCTTATTTTCAAGAGCTTACAATTTTACTGACAAACATTTCTGAGTATATTATTCATCGCGTAATACTGTCGGATAAAATAAGACTGCTTTGTTAAGTTTCCCAGTTTACATACTTTCGTCCAAATATGTTTCGGTAATCAATAATTTTTTTCATTTGACCTCTACTGGCATTTTCTATAATATTTTAGGAAATCTGTTAGACTGTACAAGTTTTGATGAGGAATCATGAAAAGGGTACTCTTTGGTGACTTATGTCTTTCAAACTGGAGAATTCGAATTCGAATTAATATCATATCAGATATATAAATTCAATTCATGCAAAACTACTCGTCCATAATCCTAGGATATCGAACCGTTCAAATAATGTTAAATATTAAATTACATCCTCTACAGTTAATAATAACGTGTCATCTTGTGCCACATTAGTAATTTACACATTTCGAGATGCAATTTCATAACGCTTAACTCTGAAAACCAAAGTCAATCAAATCACAATATTTGATCTGAGTAAATGCAAGGTGCTATATACAACTGATAGATTGATGTGAGTCTTTGGATACCTTCCACACCAACCAGTAGTGCCTGATAACCAGACTGAAGTCATCTGAATACCAGAAAGCCATTTCACTTGTTTTGGACCGATCTTATCTGCGGTGTATCAAGTTTGAATCAACTCAAAGAGTTGAATCAGTGTAAACCACCCTAGTTCTAGCTACCTACCTTGAACTGTGCAAACTGCAATTTGTGAATGTGAACCAGTGTTTTACCAGCTCACCCAAGTAGCTAGCCGGAATTCGGGAGCTGTGCACTGATTCATCTCTCTCAACTGAATCAAAGTGGGTAATCCAATGATAACCACTTAATTAAAAGAGCGAAATATCCATCCAGAATATAGATCACTTCGATCTGTATAGCCAGATCAAAAGTGTACGCCATCGGTTTGTAGTGCGCCTTATATTTAGGAAGCATGACAATCACTGGCATTAATAATATAATGCTTGATATATGGTAGGATCATTATCTGAATATAATATTCTACTGGAATCATCTTTCAAATTTTATGGCTGAAATTTGTTATTTGAATAAAAAGCCAACAACATAAAAAAATTATTAAAAATAGAGAAAATAAACTGTAATTGAATTTCAACAGTACTTGTGTTTTCAATAATTTGTTTACGATATATATATACACATTTCGTTGAATGTTACTGCGGTGTAATAAAATATATATGCATATGTATTTAACTTTGAATTGAATGAATTTATTAGATTGGGACAATTTCAATAAACATATGGCCAAGGATATATACACATTTATAGGAAGAGAGAGAGGGAGACGATGAGTGGCGGGGTGAAAGAGTGAGAAGAGGAGAGATGGAGACACAGCGGAAAAGAGAGAGACAATATTTCGATAATAAACTTTTTAAAAATGTCGCCTGGATAAACTTTGCTTATCACTTGTGTAAATTTATCGGCATGAAGAGTCTAGTGATTACAATGAATCATTCTTCACACAGAAAACTTTCTATGATTTTTGTTGAAGACCATAATTTCCTGAATAATGTCACTTTATTTTAATCTAAATATTCAGTTGGAAAACCAGTGAAAACCAGGGAGTAATAAAGAGCTGTTTCGTCTTTGTCTGGGGATCTTCATCAGTATATATCCATAACCCCAAAAGGGATAGATAAATCCTTGAAGAGTCCTAAACAAGGGCAAAACAGCTCTTCACCTCTCCATGGTTTCCAGTGGTTTCCTAGCTAAAATTTTTGTTTTTGTTCAACCTTGAAATCAATTAAATCCTTGCAAACTAACAGCCACAAGTTATTTCAATTCAATTTAAAGAATTCATACATTGTCAATATTACTCAAAGATATTCTTGTTGAAATTTTGCCTTTCTTATCGATATATGGTTCTGTCTTGAGAAGTTAACAAATATTGAAAATGTAGATACTTTCTTCAGTTTATTTCTAAATCAAAGGAACAAACAGCTCAGACTGAAGTTCAAAGGTATCTTGTACCGCCTTTTAATCATTCAACGTAGAAACTGATGATAACTGGAAATGGTGAAAGTCTATTCCTGTACACATTACTTAAAATCACCTTTTTTCACACTTCACATCCGATTTGTCATTCAGAAATTACACGGTTCAAGTTGAGAATTCACTTTTGAAACCACAACGATTCAGATCACAATATGGAATCTGCTTGGTACTATAAATGGTAATCAAGAAAGCAAGTGAAAAAGCACGATGATATATACTACTGATTGCTATTAAGCAGAGTGAAAACATCCACGTCAAAAATTAGTGCTTATTAAACAGACAGAAGGAGACTTAATTGCGGTGACTTGAACTCACTTGGCTGTCTGACCTAAGTCAAAATAGGTTCACTCCAGATAAGATCGGTTCCAAACAAGTGAAATTACCATCTAGTATCTAGATTGATTAGATCTTGCTTGCAAGCAACAGTGGCTGCTAAGAACTCAGTTTAATCCGTTATAAATAATATTATGATATTCCACTTTCATTTCATCAATGTGTTTGCATTGAAGTCTATGTTATCATGCTGTGTAGAATTCATGTAATGCGGGAATTTACAATGTAGTTCCCCTTTTTTTGAATTCGTGATAATACTAATTAAACTTCTTTCTTTAAAATCAAGGGATTAAGTTGTTTGAAAGATTTTGACGCCACTGTAAAACGACTTACTTTAACCAAAATGTATGTCTTCCTTCTGTTAATACAGAATGGCAGTGACGTAATAAAGATTATTATCAGTGATAATTGGCAGTAATATGCATATTTCTTCATCATGATTAACATTTTAATTATTAAAACTCAGTATGTGGACTGATAAACTAACAACTCCTTGGTCATTTGCTTCAATCTAACGTAAATCATAACATGTGAAAGTTACTTAGTCTGCATCCATACTATAAACTAGCCTGCTTTATTGTCAATCATCTAAGCATGGTGGAACTATCCCTACTGTCTGTTAGACAAAAAAACCGAGGTTTTTACAATCCAACAGTAAATTGAAAAAACAGCAGTTGTCCAGCAAAGGTTTCAATTTTCTGTCAGTTGTTCAAGTAGTTTTTTTGGTTTTTAGTAGTTTTATTTTTTATGAAATTCCATAACATGTGGTTTCATTTGGTCCGTGAATCATATCAAGCAATAGAAGGTCTTCATCAGCCAAAAAAGGCTGTTTTGTTCCCACTTGTTTTTAATGTCTTGTTCACTTTAAGTGTTTTTGTTTTATCTTTCTCTTTTTTTATGCACTACAGCAAGTTATCAATTACAATTGTCGTGCCTTAGTTGCGGCTGTTCCATTTTTTACTTATGCTGATCAGGATTTTGTTTCTGAAGTTGTAACTAAATTAAAATTTGAAGTATTTCAACCGGGTGATTTGATTATCAAAGAAGGAACAATTGGTAATAAAATGTATTTTATACAAGAAGGTATTGTTGATATTATAACTAAAGATGGTGAAGTGGCGACAAGTCTTTCAGATGGATCATACTTTGGAGGTAATTATTAGTGAATGTGTTATTTTATAAATTTGAATCAAAGTTTGACCTATTTTATCGAAATGTGATAGTACATTCAAGACAACTTTTGGGTATTGGCTATCAAACAGTTTTTATCGTTCCTTTGCGTTTCGAGTGAGACATAAAGCTTCTGGATTTATACTTCGAAGTTTTACTAGCTGTGAAATTTGTTTTTATGAGGTGAGGTTAATAGACTGACATCTAGTCTTTCCTCTTTTCCTGGTTCCCTATCGACTAGCTCGTTAGGTGAGTTTTGAGAATATGTCAACCGCAAATCGATCCGCGAACCACCTCTGAGACACCGACACACCAGTTTCAAACAACATTAAGTCTAAAAAATGTTGTCAGTGACAAGAATGTGATATTAGATTGACTTCAACAGTTTGTTTAGTTATATTCCTCTGAAATTTTTCGACACTTTCACCAATGTATGAATGTATTTAAACGCTAAAGACACTTCTTCAAAGTGTAGGTTTTACATTCACTTAATATGTTTTACATCTATTAGTGATATAGAAATATATATTTAGAATTTTTACAAGTTAGCGGTTCTCAGTTTAACTTTCATAGACACCGATAATCCTAGGTCACATAGCCTTTTCTCTACTTTGTATTGAAAATAGTGTCGCTTATATTATCCCCGTGATTAAATTCGAGTTCCTGAGGTGAGGACCTCCTATAAATTGGTTTCCATACATCCAGTTTAACACCGTTTCCATAACATATAAGTCTATGGTTCTATGAAGTTATGTCTTATGTACATGTTGCACGAGATTAGTTTTCTCTCATCCTGTTATTAATTTCTTACCCTCCGAATGGAACATATGACCTTAGTGGATTATCTCAACTATACTTGGTTCTCTGCCATCATCATCAACTTGCTTTAAGACTGTTCACAAGCATTCTCTTCCTCTTCAGTGATCTCCTTCATTTCTTCCTCGAATGCCCAACACATCGCTACAAATTCAAGTCCTACTTAACGTCGTGATATGTGAAATCACTCACCCGTGTCCTAGGTGTATGTCAAATGTTTGTCTATTCCCTTCTGCATATTCGTAAGACAATAGATTATTGTCCGGTTAGATTTCAGAAAAAAGAATTCTTCTGGTATATGAAAAACTTTTATAATATGGAAAATCAAACTTGTTCGCAAACTAAATATAAGATAAAATAACAGCAATAGGTTAAACAATGGAACATTTAAACGAATACTGCACTAAACGACCAGTGTGAATCTCGCATATAGAAGGCGAAATTACCCAGAATATAAAGATTATATAATTTCAGATGAAATGTAATTAAAGGGATCCGTATTTAGACATTTAAACATTTGGAATAATATTAAATGCAACGCTTTAGTGAAAGTTTTTTGGTTGAAACACGGATTTAAATAAAGTAATTAACATTATATGTATGTACATCTCATACACATTGAAATCACAACCGTATATCCTTGATAACTTGATGTATCAGAAAATCAATGAAGATACCATGAAACACGAAATCAAACTTTGAAGGTGTGATCAACCAAAAACGCTTTTGATCCATACGAAACAAATTACAATTATCATGATAACGTTTCATGTTGATTGGGTCTACCAGGTCGGGTGAATTCATCGCTAGCATTCTTTGGGGGTAGTAGTGTATCGTGAATCAACGGCAAATTTAATTAACAGAACATCTCTGTAGTTACAAAGCTTACTTAGTTAACTGAATTTGACCCCTGGTAGAGTCGTGTGGTGTATAATGCTGAAGAACCCCATGTCAGGGAGAAACATCTGTCAGACACCTCTTCATTTTCAATTATTCTCTAACTGATTTTATTCCATGACTAGATCTACACTGAAATTCTATAGCCTGTTAAGTGACATAGTATCACATGCCGCATTCAATAAATGATACTAATTCAACATGCAGCTATTTAACCAATCTTTTGTTAAACAGTTGGAAATATATCAACGAAGTCAGCTAGGATAAATGCATCATTGTGACAAAATTTTCGCGCCCACACAGAATGTATCGTAGTCATATAGTTTTATAAAACCTGAAAGTATTTAGATATGATAGTCCAAATGAACTTGAAATCGACAGAGTATCACATGACGCAACGTAGTTATGTCCGAAACAAGCCTTAATCTTCCACGACATTTTCCTATCTTGAAATGCTCAGCTGGAAATTAGAAGCCAATTATAAAAATTTTGCGTGAGTTCATGTTGGTATTCAAAGAAATAACTGGAAGATTAAAACAACAAGAAAAGGAGAAAAGTAAATGCATTATCCTCTAAGGAAATTTAGGTAGTCTAGTAGATTAAGGATATCCCAGTTAAGTACTAGCTGTTCAATCCAGTAATTAATAATTAATAAATTACTTCGGTAAAGATTTCTCCATGAGTTGATATCAATTAGAGAATGACTGAAAAGAAGGAGGCAGTAAAAAGCTCTTTGAGTCCTTTAAATAGTGAACACATATGAATCAAAACTAGTGCCTTCAAGTTACTGGCCAGGCAGGTTTACCATTCAGTCATTACAGTGGGATTTGACGAACTGTGAATGCACACTTTTGTTGATTTATGTTTTAGCGACGCCGCAAACTAATATCATCGGTATGCATGATGTAATAGTGCATGCATCATAAGTGATAATAAACTCTGTGATACATAACCAATATTTAGTTCAAAGCTAATTATAATACATCTACTTCATATTAATTAACAATACTGACGACTACTTATGAGAAGTAAAAGAAAAATTATTCCGTAAGTGATGCCTTTTGTAAATCTTGAAGTAAAACTTGAAGGAATACAGAAGTCCTAGTCCTAAGTAGAACGTACTGTTGTATCATTAATTCATTCAAATTCCTTTAACTGTTCATCACTTTTTTTTATTTTTTATTACATTTTAGAAATCACTTTACTTACAAATGCTCGTCGTGTTGCGAGTGTTAAAGCTGTAGTCTACTCAAATCTATATTCTCTGGATCGTGAAAGTTTTTTATCCGTCTTAGAAAACTATCCACTTATGCGTCGTACAATGGAGTCTGTAGCAGCTGAAAGATTAAATAAAATCGGTCAAAATCCAGCTATCGTTAGTAATCGTGAAGATTTAAAAGAGGATTTAAGCCTAGTGAAAGAAATAGTCAGCTCAGCTGTTACACCTGAAGACAGTTCAAGTGGACCTGAAACAGAAAATGAAGACAATCAGGCTCATTTAAATTTCAAGCATCTGTTAAAATTTCGTAAACGTAAACAATCGAATCGGCATAAACTATTTGACAATTGTATTACAAAATTGAGTCAAGCGAATGAAGAAGACGAAGCACTACAGACACAAGACAGCAGTGATCTTACATCACCAGACAAATTAAAATTGCCAAAATTTATGCGACAGAAACGTAATTCATCAAATCTTTTCTTAAATCCTGCACAAAATTTATTAAATATCACAAAACATCAACATGATAAGTCAAAAACAATACAGAACAACTCCAATGAAGACAACAGTAATAATAATGATAATAAAAGCCCGAAAGTAGATTTAATTTTACCAAGTAGTAGCAGTAGTCAGTGTTATGATAATTTTATATCAAATATTTCAAACTCTCAGTCTGATAATCTAACCCCTACTACTGTTAACCTTGTAACTCAAAATATTAGCAAGGCTAATAGTAATAAAAATAAAAGTGATACAGATATCAGTCGAAAATCAACGGAATGAGAAAAAAAGATAGAAGTAACACTCAATCAGTTATCTTTTATATTCACACAGTAATCACAATACTAATGATAACAGTACTTCAGAAATATTCACATTGAGAAAATATAGGTTCATCATTCTTCATAAATATATATACTTTCTTCTGAGATGATCATTACTAAATCAGCCAACTCATTCCATGAGGAGGGAGAAAATATTTTTCTTCCCTCCTCTTTTCTCTTGTCCTATTTTTTATCTAGAATTTCTCTCCTTCTCTTCAAGAAAGACTTGTATGGTACTTTTGTGCATTTCGTCAAAAGGGAAATATAATACATTTTTCCTAGCATATACGCATACATATTCTCTCGGTGTATGCCTAACAACATCTGGAAAGATTCACAGGAGCTGAGAACTATTTTTTGTTTTTCTCTATTTTGAAATACGTCTATAGTTAAACAGTTGAACCAACTAACTAACTAACTGATAAACAGTAAGTAGTATCTCAAAATGGATTCAAAAAAACACGTCTTACCAATATTTCATTACTATATTATCAATGTATTCATAAGATACTTCAGTTTATTGAAAAATGATGAAAAATTTGGCAGTTTTTCTTTCTAGTTCACGTCTTGTAGTGAAATGAATTCATTTGTATAATACCAGTGTTCACTTATTTAATAAATAAGATTGAAAAGAAAACCAAAACTTATTTGTTTATTTACTTTATTCACTACTACCACTACTATCACTATTATTGTTAGTATTTTTGTCCTAATTATATTTCCTTTTCTAACATACAACTGTATAAATAATCGTATACAGGTCGAAACATATACACACGCACATATAAACAAATATTCAGTAATAAAGGTCTGAACTTCAGTTATATAAAACAAGAATTCTGAATAAGAATAACCAGTCACAGTCAAGGAACTTGATAGGTGTAATCTTTATCATTTTCTATATTTTTTTTCATGCAGTGCAGTTTTGCTATTCAACTGTGATAAGTTTTCCATCCTTTACTTCCTTAGTATTACTTCTTACTTCATTTTCTTCTCACATGCGTATATTCACATTTCCATATAATCTTGTTTGTCTTAAGTAATTCTGATTGTTGTCTTTTTCGCCTTCTTCCTCTTACTTCTTTGTTCTTATTCAAATTCATGTTAGATACACTATATGAAGATAAGACTTAATATACACACAGAGAAACAGGAATAAATAGTGGTGATATGAAATTGTAATCACTCTATAATATTATTCATTGATTATGCTCTCAGTGGATGCAGTTTCGTGTGACAAAATATGCCGGCTGAACCAACGTTATGCAGTTATATAGTAGTATTCAGTTTAACTTAAGAGTTAAAAGTTACCACATGTCACCCAGTTGAGAAATTCAACTCAGTTGTAGCTTGTGTAAAGATATAAATGGTTACCAGTGGGGCTATGTACAATCTACAGAACTGAATGGCTATTGTGTAATTACTGCATGAGATTGATTTTTCAAGAGTATTAACTGCTCAACATTTCACTGTAATCACTGTATTGTATTTACCAAAGTTGTATTCAAAATGAATGCCTTCTTGCATTCCTTTGATTCATTTGCTAAATTCGAAAAGCCGCCACTGTTAGCGATAATACAAAGTCAACTTGAAAGCCGCAGTGTATAATCTTCAATGAAAATATAGACCTCAGCTTAGGGATCCAAGAACTCACCGTCATTGATTGAAACTTTTTGTATGTACAGTTACCTGCATTAGAGTTAAGTCTGAAGAAGATCTGACTGAAAATAATATTGTTCACTTATGTCTTGTTCTAATTTTAAGAATGGGAATATTTCATGATCAGAGAGTAAAGCCAAAGGATAGACTCAGAAGTGTGCTAATTATGTGTGTTGACAATATTCTTAAATGTTATGTATAAATATACCAAACAGAAATAGTCTAATGTAGTCATTAATAAACAAGTTTTTTATGATTGGCATCACTACCAGAGATAGGACACACATAAATGCTTAAGTGAGAAAAGAAAAAGAAGCCCATCAAAGACTTCATCCGCAGAAGATGCATAATCCTACTTTTATACATAATTTAATGTACTTACTGTTATTACTTAATCTAGTATGGTAATGAGGAGATGTCAAAGAAGATAATTTTCACTGTGATATGAAAGCTCCAAAGTGTGCATAAATTACAAAGAGTTTAGAAGCAAACTTACATAAAATTAGAAAATAGGTAGGTAATATGTAAGACAGTTTGTAAATAGGAGTAGTATGAAAGACATATGCATAGAAACAGACTGAAAATATAGTTTTTAAAACTGAAAATGCAAGACCATGAAACGAATGAAAAGGTAACAACAATTAATAGTCCAAATGGGATTAGAAGTATGGTTGGTGTAGAGGTTGAACTGGTTACTTTTAAACGCATGGCTATACCTTCTCAACATGCATGGCAAGAGCTTCTGCAGTACAGAGAAGTCTTTGGCTGATTTCCGTTCTTTTTGTATATAATTTTGAATAATGAGTACGTCGAGATTTCTTGACGGGTAATGATGAGGTGTTCCATCACAGCTATTCTGACTGAACCAGTTCCAAATCTTTGAAGTCATGCTGTGTGTTCTTCCTCAAGATATTCTGAAAGAACGAACGTCGAACGAGCTGTGTACCTAACTCCACCGAAGCAGGTGAACTTATATAAGCCTACTGGAGTGGTCATATGTAGGAGTTTGTCCTTCAAACGGTTAGAAAGGTGACGTTTTTTCAAGGAACTAGCTGTTATCTTTATTCAGACAGTGACCGCAAAGTTTTGCCTGAAGTTCAGGTTCATGTATAGTGTTTTCGCTGGGATTGTAATACATTCTTCCCTGTTTGTTTTTGGTTTTATTTTCTTCTCCGCAAACCATGCAGAGTATCCATTGTCAGTCAAGAATTAATAATAATAATAATTGTAATTATATGAACCTATGTATAAAAATGCGACTGTGAAGCTTTTGGAGATGATGTTAATCTTCTTGTTTTCTTTCTTTCTAATATCCTCAGAGATATTTTTTGCGCGATTTAAAAAATACTTAAGTGTCTAGTTTACGTTTTATACACTGAATGGAATAAGCTTTTAATTCTATGATGATGGCATTTTTCCCTTAAAATGTTCAACGTATTCATTTAGCGAGTGTAAAAATATTCAATCTATAAATTTCTCCAGAAAATTCGGAAAAAATTAACATACAAATGGAATGAATATAATTCATTATAAAAACTGAACACAGAACAAGGAGAGTGTGATTCATTGAATCCATAAACTTTATTATAGATATTCAGTACCCTCCGGTTCTTCCAGTGGTTCTTTAACTGAAATCATTTCGTGGTGAGTGTTGAAGTTCATCCAGTCTCTGACCACTGGTAACTGACTACAGGATGAAGATGTCCTAAGTTCTTTTGAGAAGTCATGATCGGAAGGTTCTACTAAGTAGAATGTGAGGGCAAGCATTCGCTGATTGCACTGTATGGTGGTCGCGCTATATACCACGAAATGACAGAAGTTAAAATTGATGGGACATTGAATTCCGCTCGAGTGGCTGAATGGCTAATGGGCTCGCCTTGTAACCTGAAGGTCTTGGGTTCAGTCCCTGGTGGGACTACAGGTGCGAACTACGGAGAAGTTGCAGACAAGAGTAAATTGGCTGTCTAGTACTCCATGGTTTTCAGTGATACTCTAGCTGAAGTCATTTTGTTATTAATCTTAAAAACAAATACAATACCGAAAAGAGAAGATAAATTACGTCGTTTAAACAGAGCGTAAAGTTAAACAGCAATAATCTTATTGATGTGGCAATAAAAAGAATAAGGGCATGACAAATATCTGTTTCGTATGGTAGTAAAATGCTTGAATTCAGGAGAGGAGTATCTATCAATCTATCCACTTACTTAGCTATGTATCTATCTCCTCATATTCTATATATGTCGTTACAAATCATGAATTAGCAATAAATCTTTAAGTGAATTTAATTACTGTGACATCAACAAACAGTTAATTTCAATAATTAATCAAAGTAATTTCATATTCAACTAACACCGAAAACATGGAATATTTTCAACAAATCTTGCTTCTATAAAAATATTTTTCAGATTAATGATTAATTCCCTCTTTAAATTTCATCTCAAATGTGGAAACATATTTGTATCAACAGTAGAACAGACTGATGCATGTCACCACGGAATAAATTAAATAAATTTATGTAGAAGCATTGATTTTGGGCAATTAAACAACCTAGCTATTTAGATATGCTGAGAAATTTTAGATCTGTTGCTTTCTGAACTAAGCAGTCATCGACTACGTTCATCCCCAGACTAATTATATGAAAATAATAATTAGTATTATAGTACACATAACTTCTCTATGCATTCGGAATCTCCTCAACTTCCTCTAGTTATCCTTACTCAAAGCTGATAGAATTATAGGCTTGTTAGAATGATGAAAAAAGATATTTATAAGGCGTTTTCCACCGAAAATTATTCCAAACTATTTCAATATCAAGTTTAGCACTTGTCACCGTGTTCTCTACAAGATGTTTCAATGCATTTTTGCAGTATTAAATAAAATTATGGATAATGTAGTTAGTTTCCTGATTGCTTAAAGTATTTTGGGACCATAAACCAAAAAGGAGTGTGTTAAATCAATTTTCTAACCAAGTGTTAAATCTCATATGAACTGTGATCAAGATTTGACTGAATAGTTCCAAAATAATTGGGCGCTGAGTGAAAAGTAGACATTTGTAAAAATTATATTTGTAAAATCTCAGCGAAATTGAAATGATTAATTCCAACGTTCAGTTCGGCAATCTGTTCCGAACTTCTTCAGGGAAATTAATCGAAATTAACATAACAGAGGTTTATATATAAAAGGACATCTCTTGTTTCTGTAAACTTTTCCCAATCACATGAGTCATGAAACAGGTATCAACGTATATAATAAACAAAATTGATCACAGTTGATACAGTTTTGTTTATTATACCCGTTTCATGATTCATGTGATTTGGAAAAGATTTTAGAAACAAGAGATTTCCTTTTATATATAAACCTCTGTTATGTTAATTTCGATTAATTTCCCTGAAGAAGTTCGGACCAGATTGCCGAACGGAACGTTGGAATTGATCAATTCAATTTCGCTGAGATTTTACAGGTATAATTTTTACAAGTGTTGTTTCGTGAATGCTATAACAGAGTATTGTAATCCATTTCAAAAGTTACCTTTTGAAAGGCTTGAACACATGCCAGTTTGCTTTGGCATGCAACGAGCAGTAGTCATAAATAATCCTTATACACGAAATTAATATTATGTATATGTTTTCTGGATTTTTGTTGTCGTCTCTATCCAACTGAACAGGTATCTCAAGAAGCATAAAAGCATGACGAAGATAGTTACTGAGATTACCATGACGATGAGATTTCAGCACATTTTAAGCTAATAGCTAGTGTTTATGGATTGATGAATATAGGGACAAGTTTTATAGAAATTCTGAGAAATACTGGCGGTTTCATGTCATCATCATTGTCATATAATTTATTCCGATATTAAATCCTAATGACACTGAAAGTTTTTTTTCACAACAGTTTAACTTCACCTCCATATTAAGAGTGTTAAAACTGAACCTCTCAAATAACTGGTTTAATAAGCCCCTATCTGTTGTCGGAATTATTTCCGTTTCTTTAGATTTTTTAAGTGGAACTTGAGTTATCACTTAAAAGAAAAATAGTTTTTTTATTAGGTTTTTTATTAATCTTGACTGCTTTTTAATAATCCCTCTGAGAAACTGAAATTATTCATTTCACGATATTTGACTTGCTTGAAACTAAAAATAGCACAAATAAAACAATGAAAATAAAGTGTACCACAGTAGACAACGCAGTTGTATCCTCTAGCTTACTAACTACACTGGTAACTTTGTTGGTAGATTTCAGTCACGATTCACAGTAAGACAGCTATACTGCCTACTATCGGACAACATTGCTTCAGTGCAGTTTTTAAAGTTTTCATATATATTTTGGTATTTCATGGCGGGCTTTTTGATCGTATTTGGCAGTAATGAGAAGTGAGCATCACGGAAATCCACCGGTTGAAAAAGTACAGTCTTCTTTTTTCTTCATTCACCTACTGATAAATAAATCAACTATTCGCACAATGGCTTAGATAGGGAAAGCTTTCCTTTTTGTTTTATTTCGCGTTATTATCATTTATATCTATCCTATTCCCTTCGATAATTTAGTGAGTTGTCTTAAGAAAACAGGAGAAGTATATATGTATGATGCTTCGATGAAGTTGAATTGGGAAGAATAAAGTTGTACAAATTAAATTTTAACATATGTAACTGAAAGTACTTATTTAGTTCTCTTTTTCCAGTAATGGCTGTTTCGTCCTTGTTCGGGACTTTTCATCGGCAAGCACGAATCATCCCGACAGGGATTGAAACCAAGACCTTCAGGTTACAAGGTGACTTCGGTGACCATTCAGCCACTGTGGCGGAATCTAATAGCCTATAAATTATAACTTCTGCAAATTCACCATACAAAGGGTGATTGCTAGCCAGTGGAGCTGTCAAGTATTTCACCTCACACCCGACTTGATGGACTCCAGCATAACTTCAGACATCTTCCTCCTACAGTCAGTCACTAGTGAGTACTAGGTTAGATTTCAAGAATAATCAAGATTAAACCGAATTCATTTCGTGATCATTATTGAAAACAGACCAAATTCTTGCAGACAAACATTTGAAAATGACTAAAATAAGAGCGAATTTCGTAGGGAAAAGAAGGGATATAGTTCTATGCTCATAATGTTGACAAATAGTAGTTACATTTCAAGATTACTTTTGGCCGGGTAAAGTGTTGTAATTATTTATAATCCTAATCATCTTCTGTTTGCCAATAGGTCTCTGGCAATAATTAATGAAAGTGCCATAATAGGTAATGATTCAGAAATAACAAATTGAAACTGTTGGTCGGGACAGTTTTCCTTTTTTTAACCTCAAGCCCATGATTATGTATTTACTAATTTACTAAAGTCAGGATTTTATACTCTGGATGTACTCTAAGAATCACTGTTTGATATAATCTGCCAGGTAACACTATTTGGGCTAATGATAAACTGACAGAAATCGTTTCAATCTGTATGCTAAATGGAAAGCATAGCTCAAGAAACAGCACATATTGGAGTGTAAAGAAAAGAATAACTTAAGTTATAAGTTGAATCATTTTAGAAATTCATTTGGTTTTTCACCTATTGCATAATATCTTAGAGTTATTTTGTTCTTGTTAACAAATTCTAAAAGTGAAACATGTGAAAATGAGAAAGGCTTCTGAATAACAAATCATTGTTTTACAACCAACTAGACATTCATCCAACATTGCTTTCAAGATAAACTTGGATGTATATAACATGTAAGATTTGTAAACAGATAAACAGATAAACAGACCTGTCAATCACGCTAGACAGCACTTTTAGTTAAGAAATTATATTCTAATGTACAACACTTGATTGCTGTTTTCATTATCTTTATGAAGAAAATAAAAGCCAGATTCAGCGAAGAAAATTTTCTTTATCGACGAAATCATCTTCAGAGGCTGTACAGTCGTATTTCTACTTACAAAAAATATATAGTGGTCTATTATTGAGGAATAGGGGGTGACATAATTAATACAATTACTCAGAAGTGTCTTTAGAAGTGAAAATCAAAAGTTGCAAATTACGTGGTACTCAACGCACAAAGATAGAAATTTGATGACGTTAAAATTGCTATTGAGTGAGAATAAAGGTATTTGAGCGTCAATTTAACAAGTGTGAAGAGGGTGTGAAAACACACAAAAGGAGCATATGAGAGTGATAATAGTGAATTAATTATTAAAGCAAAAGTAAACTGAAAGTAAAATGAAAATGAAAAGAAAAATCAAAATATATTTTATTTACAAGGAACGATTAGTGAAGAGGTTAAGACCAAGGTAGAGTAAGAGAATGGACAAACTTTTTCTGTATACAGAGGTCAGAGTTGCATTGACGAATTGCCAGCGCCTCCGCCATACACA